CGCAGGCGTGCCGCCACGTATATGTCTCGCGAAGCGGTCGCCTTATCGCATACTGCTCTCACTTAACGCGCTCCATGATGACAGTCAGTCTTTTGGCCTGTTCGCCTTTAGAGCGAAAAGGTGCGGCTTATACACCTGAAAATAGGGTAGTTGTGAAAAGTAGGGGTGCTTTCTATAAATTTGCAACTTCTGCTGCAGCATCAGAACAAAGGGAATGCCGTAACGGAAGGGAATCGAAACCCACTGCGAAAATTGTGAAAAGGTGGAAAAGTACGGTGAAAGAGGGCAGGAAGAACGTCACGGTTAACGTTACGTTTGTTATGTCTGCTAACAGGTCTCACAAAGACACCTGTCTAACAAACGTTGATTAGGCGTCTTCGTGAATTTTTGAAGAGCTTGTGTTTTTAGAAATAAAAGATAGTGTACGTAATCCGCATCATCAAGGACTTCCACAAATGAAATAGATTTTCAAAATTACGCACAATCCGCAATTAAGCATGAGATCACGTTCTGGGATCAATGTAAATTCGCTTATTGCTTAAATTTGAGCCTTTTTCGCGATATTTCGCGTAGCACTTGCAATTCATTTTCAAGTGACTGAAGCAAATTTAGAAACGGAGTTAGAATAAAGCCCGCAGTAAACTCCCCTTCAACACAACACAACTGCGGCGGGCCTACGTTGAACGTAGAACGCCTCAGTGCAGCATCCAGTGAGCTATTGACCTGTGGCCCTATTCATCAACGAACCCACAGGGTTTGCGAACCCACTGGGTAAGATCGGTATTCACATGTGTCCCGCTGTGTTAGCAATCAGTATGCCCATTTACCCCCTCCCCCCCCCCCCGTGCCAACTCCCAGCATCGTAGCTCGAATATTGCAAAAAATCGACAAAATCGATAATATTATTAGGTTGAACACTAAGTTTTGCAACTTGTTTCATAACTTCACTCTCACTCAACATGACGCACTCAAACTTTGGCATCATGCAGAATGCAATGTGATCCATGTAGAATGCAATGTGAGCTACAAGTGGGCACAAATTGTCTGAATTTTGAACACGAAATAGAAAAGTTTCAGGCATTTTTCGAAAACTAGTGAAATTTGAGAATTTTTGAGGTTTCAAGCTAAAATGAAGCCTTTGGCAGCCTAGACCATGCGCAGTAATCCGGATTCGTCTATAAATTATTGCAAGAGGTTGACTGCTTTGGCCTAGCAAGAAAAAAATAAAATTTGTGGGCATGTCGAGATTTGGCGTCCTCATAAAGTCGAACGAGTCGATGTACGCAAGAGCTGCTGGGGACGACCGTCAATGACTAAAGAGTCCGAAGCTCAAATTCCGCCGAGACTTCACATAGTAAGGTTATTTGACCTGCCGAATGCGAATATCATATTCATTTGTTGAATCAACGCCTTTTTCCTTGTTTAGAGTGAGACCCCATATCGTACACCTACAGTAATCCTACAAAAAAGCCCTTATCACGCAATTTCACTATCGCTTTGTGATCAGCATGTCGGATAACATCCCTATGCCAAGTTTCAGCCAAATCCGTCAAACTTTGAATTTTCCCCCTTCATACCATACACCTACCGTAACCCTCACTGCGACGTCAGAATTTGGTAGGACAGCAGCTGCGCTTGTAATATACATAATAACCAACACAGTGGCAAAATTTGAGTGCACCATGTTGAGTGAGAGGGAAGTTATGAGAAAAGTTGCAAAACTTAGTGTTCAACCTAATAATTGATAATTCTAGAAACTAACATTGTATTCGTAATCAGCATGCTCACTTACCCCTCTGAGCCAACTCCCAGCCCTGTAGCTTGAGCTTTGCAAAAAGTTGATGAAATCGATAAAAGTAATTGATAATTCCAGAAACTAATATTGTATTCGGAGTTGCCATCCTCACTTACCCCCCCCCCCCCCCTCCCGTGCCAACTCCCAGCCCTGTAGCTCAAACTTTGCAAAAAATCGATAAAAATCGATAAAATCGATATCTATCGATGACGAAAAGTAGCCTATGACATGCTCCCCGCCCTGAAATATATGTGTGCCAAGTTTGGTCCAAATCGGTCCCGAAATAAAAATTTCTATTTCGCACATACGTACAGACAAACAGACATACAGACATACAGACAGACAGACATTCAGCTCTGTATCTAAGATTTTATTCGAGTATTCTTTCGGACCCCGACATGACTGTCGACAATGATATGTGTGAAAATGGATGCAGAAAGAGGGCTCTACCCCCTTTTTGTTCTACTAATTTTTCTTATTCAGAGTTGTTTTTTACCACATAAGGAAGATATTAGTCGCATTTTTCGAAGATTGCACGGCATGATTGACATTCAGAATCCGTATAGTTTTAACAATTGTCATGGTGCAAGAAGTAGCTAAGTTTGTTTCGTAGATGTTTTTGCTATACACAGCAAGTATATCTATGCCTTTCTTCGAACTCTTACTTTCAAACGGGATTTTCATCAGTGACAAGACGCATATTCGCAGAAAGCACTCAAGTCTTTGTCCATTTGTATTTCTAGTACGAGGACGCCCGAATAGAGGGAGTACGTTTTCCTCAGACTGGAATGTGAAAAGAGATCATCGATAGAGTTCAAATCTCTATGATGAAACTAATACGTGATTACCATTATTAATACTTGTTTCCTTCCCATTGGTTTTTACTCGACCAGATTAAGGAACAAACGATTTTGATTAAAACCGCTTTCTTTCTTTTTCTTGAGTCGTTTGCCTGCTGACTTGATCGGAATGGGGGCAAGGATTTTTGTTAATTTGAGGAATAAACAAAGGAACATAAACAAACACAGACAATAGACAACCAGATGCATGAACACGAATGCAAGCAGATTTTGCTTCCTACATGAGGCTCCTTCCGTAGTCGCAGCAGTATCAGAAAAATTCTGAGATAGCATGAGCAAACATCGGCAAGTGCTTAGGCTGTTTACAATTTGACGCAAAAAATCTCCGTTAAAAAGCTTTTCAGAGACCGCCAAATTGTGACCGGCATCAAGTTTAATCAAAATTTATCTAACAAAATTCGTTTCACTTATGAAGAATATGGGAAGTGTTTCTAATGTATAAGTTTGCCAGTAATAACCACCTCTGCTAAAGAAAAGTCTCCATAATATAGCAAAGGAACTGGATTCGCATGTAACCCACTGAGTGATTTGCACCGTGCTTGGGTTCGCCAACCCAGCGCTCAGTGGGTTCCGGAACCCACAAGAACTGGGTGACTTGTTTCGTGAATGCCGGTATGCTCGTCTTTTAGGTTCGCGAACTCACCCGGTTACGTTTGTGAATACCGGTCAAGTGGCTTGTCATGGGTTCCGGAACCCACTGGGTAGGCTTAACCCACTGGGTTGCAAAACCCACTAGCTTCGTGAACACCGATCTCAGGGATTAAAGGCACCGTCCACCCAAAATGGAGGTTGGCGAGATTATGATGGCATACTAATGTGGGCCCTCATACTAGACAAACCTCCAAGCTTCGCCGCAAAAGACTGCTTCTGAAGCGAGAAATCTGCTCCGGAAGTAACAAAGTGGGCGGGGCGCCCCCGGCGGTCCACCCAACTCATATTCAATGTTTTTGTCGTCTTCAGGCCTTCTGAAAGCCCTGATTCCGAATATGGAGTCGAAAATTCGCGAAACCCCCAAAAATCCCTGTTTGCTGAGCCCTCTGCAACAAGTGCAGGCGAGATAAAGCATGCAAGTGGGAGGGACGATCGGGGGCGCCCCGCCCACTTTTGTTACTTCCGGAGCGGATTTCTCGCTTCAGAAGCAGTCTTTTGCGGCGAAGCTTGGGGGTTTGTCTAGTATGGAGGCCCACACTAGTATGCCATCATAATCTCGCCAACCTCCATTTTCTGTGGACGGTGCCTTTAAGCCTACCCAATGGGTTCCGGAACCCACGAGAATGGGTGACTTGTTTCGTGAATACCGGTATGCTCGCCTTTTAGGTTTGCGAACTCACCCGGGTACGTTTGTGAATACCGGTCAAGTGGCTTTTCGTGGGTTCTGGAACCCACTGGGTAGGCTTAACCCACTGGGTTGCAAAACCCACTAGCTTCGTGACACCGATCTCAGGGATTAAGCCTACCCAATGGGTTCCGGAACCCACTAGGTCTGTTGATGAATACGGTCACTGGATGCGGATCGATTCCTAGAAATGACAATTACGTATGTTCTTGAAGAAATAACGACTTGAGCCGGTTTGGTCGAACAGGTAAGCGGTTGCAATTGAGCGCGAGGGGCCATGATTTGACACTGGCTAGCACCAGAACTCTTGCTGCATCTCCGGGCATTTTTGTAGCGACCACCACCGCAAAATTGATGATGACCGCTAGATCTCGCCTAGCAAATGCATGGATAAAACAAGAATAGATTTTTTGTGGTTCCACGAAAATTGAAACGGTTGCAACTCAATTCAATAAATCTGCCAAAAAAAGTCAGTAAACTTCACAAAAAGGAAAAGAATCTGAATTTTTGTTCTCCGCGCCAAAATCATAATCCTCTACTTTTCGGGCTCCGTTATTGTGCAGTTTTGCACCGATTTTGTCAGCAGTGCTAGGAAAACTGATGTGTACCGTAAGTTACTCAGGAGCAACTTACGGGAATGCTCTCTGCGTCTCGTCTTTCCCACACTATTTGCATCAGTTCACGTCTCAACTGAATGTGAACTGATAGGAGATCAACTGAATGCGGCAGGTGGGCGGACGGCCAACTGTCAGTTCACTTCGCATACTTGTAGCTTGGGGAGATGGGCGGTCGTCAGTTTACCTGACGGAACCTTAACTGATGATTTCAGTTCAGATCACCTGAACTGATCGAGCTTTACTGCGGGCCTAAGAGTTTCAAATTTATCAGCAAAAGAGAAATCTTCATACATCGAAAGCATGCAGAGTCACACGCTTTGATGAAGACGGCGTGGTGTTTTGTAGCCGCCACCACTACGTATGGCACAGAAAAATAATCAGATTACTTTCAGCTACGGTGTTGCAAACAGTAAGTATCGACAAGCTCTAATGGAAGTGTTTCTCGAAAGAAAAGAATTCATCAGTAAGTGAATTATTATAAGTGGAAAACAAAGATAAACAGCTATTGTGAGTCCTCAGATTGCAAACTGAGTGCAGAGGCTTTCAATTTGAATGTCACGGTCGGTGAGGCTCACGACCCGCCTCGCTTGAGTTTCTCATCACGTTCGCTCTCAGCGGATACGGTATTTTCCCATTCTTGAGGCTTGGAAAATACCGTATTTCTAGGCGCTGACGAGCTTGGAAAAATGCCCCGAGACAGGTTTGCGAAGCGTCGAGAGGCTCAAGAAAGGCGGCTCGCGAGGGCTCGACCGTAACACTTAGATTGGAAGCCCTTTAGCATAATTCACACAGCAGAATAAGGAGACTGTAAGAACGTGTATGGGCAAGTCGGGCACGAAGACAATTGCTTATGGACCGGTGCTTACGCGGGCGTTAATAGCATCAGTGATGCAGGTGCTTAACCGCTTAGCAAATCAAATAGTTCTCTTCGTCACAGACTAGCCTTTACAGTTCATGGTAGAACAAAAGGGCAATCAGATGACTGCTAAAGAAAGCAGATGATCTGAGGCGTTGACAATGCTTGCACTTTGAAACTATTTAGTGGACTTGTCTCATTACAAAGTTCCTATGCGCAACGGCCTTGTCGCTAATAAATTAGTTTTGAGCGTTGAGAGAAGCTTCGGAGATAACTGAGGTAAAATGTGTTATTCAGGAATGCAATTGGATCCTACCGTCTACGAGAGTCCACCTCCTTCACACCAGATCAATGAAATGCTGGTAAATCAAAGTTGGCAGTGATATTAAATCAGCCCTTTCAAGAAGCCGTAAGATCTAGGTCGAGCATAACGGCTTGAATGTTTGAGAACAACTACGAGAAGAGAGCAGAACAGTATCTATGCATTATGGGTTGTACTTTACGAGTAGGCGTTTATTGAAACAATTTTTTCAGAGGACTTATATCATAAAAGTCATAAGACATCATTTAACATTTGTAAGATTTCTTTACCTAACACAAAAACTATGAACAAATTGACCTTTTGTACAGAGCTGAAAGAAATCGCAGTATCACTTTTATAGAAAGCGCTGGATAATCCAGTTTTGCCACTGGATTGCACCGACGAGCTGGACGAGGATTCCGAAAAGCTCGAGAAGGCTTATATCGGAAAAATGATCGAGCTTAGAGATTTGCTCCATACCAATATTCGTGAGCTACAACAGGTAAAGATATTTAGTTAGAAAGAAAATTCTACTTAATGATCTAAAAGGTTAGATAAGGTAAATAACACTAATCTACATCTTATTCGACAAACTCCCACTCAAATCTGCAAAAATATGACAGAAGAGACATTGGAAGTAGCGCTCAACCAACCCTCTTCTTCAACGCTTTCTCAAAATACTCGAAATTGCAGAAGTACTAGTGTTGCTTATTGACAACATATACTGCTAACTATAGATTCTTTTAGGGATGCGACCACATCAAAGCTGACATATGCCGAGTGTTAAGAAATCAACAGATGCTTAGGCCGATTGATCATCAGGTAACAACGAAATTCTATATCTCATTATAAATCGTGGTCATACTTTTGGAGCATGCTCTGAAAGCTTGCACTTCGCGTAATTATCTTGTATACCACCCACATTCTATTAGCAAGGTACCTTTGCTTGTTGTGATGAAAGGAGGATGGCTTGAACGAGCATTTACAATGAAGAGCAGAACAAACCACATAACATTTTTGTTATGCTTCTAATTTCAACTGAAAGCTTAGTTTTGCCGACGCTCTATTGATCACTGATATCCAAAACCATAGTTTTGTCTCGAAACTGCAAAAAGAAATGGAAGACCAAAAAACCAGAGGTTATTCGGAATGTTAGTGCTTCATTACTAGAACACACTGCAAACGTTCAAGGACTCAAGAAGAGTGAAATTAGTCCCTTTGTGAATAGTTCAATAGATTTCGCGGTTATTATGCTTCCTTTTGAACAGTGTGAAATAATTTCAATGCTCGCATTGCTGACAACATTTGGACGTTGGTCATAAATCTCATTTCCAAGGTATCGCCTAATAGGCAAATTTCATAAACAAATCGCAAAACAAGCAAACTCCGCTTTTAGCTTTTTGAAAAATAAAGACTTAGGGTCCTGGGAAGCTCAGACTGCTAGCGATGATCTGTACTATCTCTGTGGATAGCACCGATATGGGCACTGCTTTCAAGAAATTGTTTTCTATAGCACTTAATAGAGTGATATCAAAACATGCTTGCTTTTATGCTAGCATTCTTTTTGATAATCGAGTGATTTCAATGATCTATTAGGTTGAACCGAAAGTTACGTAGTTTTGATTTTGTAGAATTTATAACTGCTCCCTGTAAACGCTGCTTATAAAAAATCTCATTAGAAAGAGGAATTAATTTCTAATTACAATTTTGCGGTTCTTTGACACAGGTGACTCCAGAAATAAAAACTGGAAAAAGAAAGCAACTCAAAGTCCCGATTTCCGAAAATATCGTCAAACATCTGAAACGCTGCAGAAAAATTTGGAAGCGTGTTCCTCATAGGTCTTGTGAGCTGCTCTTTCTAACGAGGTTCTTCGTGAAAAATGCAGAAGTGCAAAAAAACGTCATTTTTGCCGGTTTTTCATTTTTGACGAAAATCATAACATTTTATAGAACTCAGTCAGCACAATTCTGGACCATTGAAAAGAGCTGGTCACAAAATCTGTAGGATGCTTTTAGATTTTTCTGCAGTGTTTCAGATTTTTGACGATTTATTTTCGAAAGTCTTGAGTTTGAGTAGTGCTCCTTTTCTAATTTTTATCTCTGGAACCTTTTGTCAAACAACAGCAAGGACACTAAAACTAGATAAATTTTTCTTTCTAAAGGAACCTTTCATAAGCAGATGCATTCACATGGGGAGCAATTGCGAATTTTTTGAAATCAAAGCAACAGAACTTTTGTTTCAACCTAATAGAATAGCATTCTTCTTCAAAGGCATCAGATTTCTAGGATGTTAATCGTGCAGTTGAGTCCATTCGTCGCAAACACGAGCAGACGGAGATAGAAGCTAAGCAGATAATAGCTAATAGTGTGATGATATTTCAGACAAGGATTGCGGATGTGACGTAAGCATCTCGAGGATCTGATGCGGTACACTGAGAATAATGTTCTGCTTGCAGAAAACGAAGAAGGAATTTTAGTAAAGAGGCTACGAGTATACTGCAAGAGTACTATGATAGCCACTTAGAGCATCCTTATCCAACAGAAGAAGAAAAGGCTGCTCTTGCTGAAAAGTGCCATATTTCCATACAGCAGGTTCGCATATTTCTGATTTGTCTATGCCGCCATCCTTCTGTTAAGGTATCGAACTGGTTCGGTAATAGGAGGATACGCACGAAAAAGTCCCAGCGGTCCCAAGAACTGCTCAAAACGGGTACTGCTAAATCAAAATCTTTTGACGTTGTTTTGCTCGCTTTGAGTCTTTCCTGGTAAGGTTGATGCCTTAGAGGCAGTGCGGGGGCAGATGGGGAGCACCTCGTCTCAACACATTACTGAAGCGGGCTCTCCATGCAAGTCATAGTCCAGTTGCGACTGCAAAGTTGGGACACAGCCGTTGCGACGCTATCATTGCAGCGGTGTCTTCACAAATTCCTGCTTCGGTAAGGAATGAGGGGCGTTCACTATTTAGACTTATGAAGTGATTCGCTTCAATAGCAATATTTAGCAGTTGCAACCGGGCTGTGTTTGCAAGGGGAACCCGCTTCAGCAATATGTTGAGACGAGATGCTCACAAATTTGCCCGGATACTGCCTTCATATGCGGCTTTTACCGGGGAGGAGGACTTTTCATACGATCGCACCCTGATCATCTTGACCTTTCGACATTATGCCGGAATGCTAGTGATAGAACCACTTATCGATTACAATGGGCAGAAAAATCTGATTTATCGAAAATGAACAAGATATTTGTAAGATATATATATATATACATATATATGTATATATACAACTTTTTGATCTTCTTTTGAGCAGTGCAAATACTTCTATCGGGCACTTCCGGCCATCGCAGAACTTCTTTACTTGGTCCCACTTCAGCTTTGAAGGGATCATAGTAAAGGCCTCTAGGCAACAGCGCAGTCATTTTCATAAACAATCGGATAAGCCTGACAATGAAGTCCGTTCCAAGTGTCCTATTTCTCAACCCTTATGGGGAAGTAACATTTCCAGGTTATGCTAAAAATCGGATGGAAAGCATGTGACACTTTTCCGCAATAAACGATTAGACCCAAGAATAGTGAAAAATTCTGCAAGGATTTGTAAGTGAAGACTTAGTTTCCGCAAGAATTTTGCTTTTCGTTTTAGCTGGTTTCTTCTATGATACTGAAGCGGAAGCAAAGGCAAAAAATGCAATGAGTTCGCAATTTCGGAAAATTTCCCTATAAGATTTATGTCAGATGGATTTCACGTTTAACACGTTTCGGACCAGTGCTGCACATGGCAGCACGCTGCTTTGAAGGATCTTTCTGACGTTTACAGGAGGTTTTCTTTTAGTCCAAGGTTATTATTTTAAAGGTCTAAGCTCCTACTTTTCAAATGACTCTATAGAGCTGTGCCGCCGATATTTGTTTAGAAGATATGGGAACAAATCGAATAACAGTTGCAACGAAGTGCGGCAACGCGAATGACGCGTGCGACGTCGCAACTTTTCTTTGCTTAGAGTTCAAAGAGAAAAACCGTAGTTTCAATAATGATGTGTACAGTGTACAACACAGATACTTTTGGATACTATTAGAAACTGAGTTCTTGTTCCTATCTTTTAGAAAAGCACTGAAGTCCTTCTCAAGTGGCAAAATTCAAACACTTCGAATTCACTCAGAACTTTGGGTATGGAGCTTATTTGACATGCTGATCACAGATCTAGCCCACAGTCTGCGAAATAAGGTTCCTTTGTTGGCTAACTGCTGAAAGTACGCTCTTTTTCGCCGCGCGCGATTTCGCGCTCCGAAACGTGTTGAATTGGGGTTGGGGTAAGGAAGACCGGACCCTGCAACTACAATGTTATTTTTCAGAGCAAAGCTCATTTCCTACAGCCTTCAAATTGCTCTTTTTCTGATTTCGCTGAGCTGCATAGCTATTCTAGATGCTTCATTCTTTGGTATGGAGCCAACAGGGCCAAATCTGGCATAGTGCCAAATCTTATTGAATCGTTGCCAAAAGGTCAGGTTAATTTGGAAGCAATCGTATGAAAAGTCCCTCTACCCCCCCCCCCCTCCCAAATCTTACCTCCTACAGTATACTAGACGCCGAAGTCTGAGACTTCACACCTAGCCGTAAGTGTTCACACCTCGCACCTCGAATTGCTCATCGTATGAAAAGTCACTCACCCCTTTTACCGTTACTTCGAGTAACGCGAAAGCCATATCAGATATTGCCGATACTTCGAATCTCTAGTGATCACCATGAAAAAATGAATAAACCAACAACAAATGTTTTCTTTTCAATCCCACTTGCCTTGATATTTGTCTACAAGGCGAGAGGTGATCAAATGGCAAAATACATCACTTTCTTCGGTTCTGAATGACGATGTACTTTACAAATGTCAACTCGCGTAAAGTGAAAGATTGAAAAGAGCTGCTTTTTGGTATTAACGAACGCGAATCTATGTATGCCTTTGGAAAATGCCTTGATACACCGTCATTTGAAATTTATACGGAGCAGCTAATTGCATTGAATGCACTTGATTGAACAAGATAGCAAAAACTTCCACCTCCAGTGCAAACAAACTGCACACATGATGAAGCTGGGCTGTGAAAGAGCATCAAGCTTTTTTGACCATTAAAGATTGACTTATTAAGTTGGCTACCAAGCATGAATACGGTACTTGTAGTATTTCAATGTACCCTCGATATCATCCCATATGTCTTCCCTCAACATTGACGTGGCTTGATGAGGCGCCGCCTCGCCTCAAGCTCGCGCCACGTTGCGAGCGCATCATTCGGCGCGACGTGGCGCTCAACACAACGTGGCGCAGGCTTTTCCACGTTCTTCTTGTTGCCACATCACGCCGAAAATGCGCACGAAACGTGGCGCAAGCCCGAGGCGAGGCGGCGCCTCATCAAGCCACGTAATCCACGTCATGTTGAAGGAAGACATATGGGATGATATCGAGGGTAGCTTTAGATGGCTGCACAAGGTTGAAGATCCCATTTACTCGTATTCTAAGGGGCTTAAACTTCGTTTTGAAGTCCCAACAACAGAGTGTCCTATTCCATACTTACGTGTCATGAAATGTGCAGATTTTGGAGTGAACACAAACTAATTTTGCGATGCAAATCTCCTCAAGTCCCAGACCTGACTTTGCCCTCCCTATTGGCAATCTGATCTGACACTAAGCAGCACATAAAGTAGCACATATTCTCTTTGTACCAACACAATGTTGAAAACCAATTTTTTTTGAGTGAAAAGCATTTGCGTAAACTTATAGATTTAGGTTCCCGCTACAACTGCGCATCTGAGGATGGAAGATGAACCTTCACATCAAGTTCGTTCTTATTAGGCTCTAACGGAATTCAATTTCTCTCTGGGTATGTGTCTGTTTGAATGATGCTCCAAAGTATTGCGATAAATGTGCGTGTGTTATGCTGTTTCTTCAAAAGAAAATATCTGAACCAAAATATTGCCTCAGTTTGCAATTACGGTAGACACAGTACTGGGAGCCGTAAAATTTAGTACGTATTTGTTTCTGATCAGGTATGATGTCAGCTATGCTCCCTTGCATCTCTCTGGGGTTCTCTCAATAAGAAAGGTTTGTTCAGCAGCACCACTCAATTTTGGTGAGACTGCAAATGTTGAAGGAAAGTGGAGATAAACGAACTAAAAGAGAGTTTGGCTTCATTCCTTGCATACCCAGCAAAACTATAAATTACAATTACTGGGCTCAAATAGAAAGCAGCAGATAACAGTTGTCTGGAAGAGTACGTAGTGGATAATGGCATTAAGTAAAATGACATGTTGTGCGTCTTCGATAAACACTTGGAGATCTGGGCGAGATAATTAAGAAGAAAACGGGAATGTCATAGGGGTATGTTGCCTAGGAGATCAGCTCATGCTCTTTTCCTACAAAAGATTAGTAGAAGGTGAATCCAGATCGAAATTACATAAACTGGTATCTTCTTTGGCAACCAAAGATATGCGGATTAGAAAACACTCGCTTTTTCTTGTCTAAAAGGAAACGGAGAAATTTGAGCTTCTTTACAGGACTCAAGTGATCGTATTGGAGGTGTGAGCGATTTACAGCGAACCTGAGGATATTGATACCTGCCTCAAGAAAGATTGCCAAATTTATCAAAATTCATGAGTACTATGGCACCACATTACCTCATAGCTACTCCTGCGATTATATTGTGTTACAAAGAGCCAATAATGAATGTCTGCGCGATTCAAAAGTTTTCCACAATTTACCTTAATCCAGCTGCGCTTATACACACCAAATTTAGTGCCATATCGTCACCTGTACGTTGCAAACGAGCCATTTTGTGGTAAGAAATTTACAGAAAAAAGCTTGCTACAACCTTCAGTCACATAATTCTTTCACAATACTCTGCACTATCCTCCTAGCCCACGTCCGTTTGTACTTCAAATTCCTTGTCATATCGTTATGTGTGCGCTGTAACCGAGACATTTGATTATAACTCCACGAAAAAGAAACTGAATTTTTGAAGATGAACTCGAGCAAGATCGCGTTTTGCGCGTCAGTCGTGTAGCAACTTGTCGCAGAGTGAACGTACTGTAAACATATATTTACAATATCCTCTTTGCATTCCATTCAAAGCGATTTCCAGCTTGATATTTGTCCACCTCGTACTAGGCCCTGACCCCGCATAACTCAGTGCGATTGAACGACCGAATAGTTGCATTTTCCCTGGAGATTCTAATACGCACTTGCAATTCCAGAAGGATATCGAGTGCAGCATGCTATAAATGCTGCTTTCGATATCCTGCTATAAATGTAGTTCTTGACAGTAAGTCAAACTTACACCAGGCTACTGGTAAATATATCCGGCTCCGCCCGGCCCTGTCAATACACTACCTATCATTTCCTATTTCTGTACAACATTTTCCCGTCTTTGTCTCACCTCTACATGCCCCGTCCCCACAATGTTTTCGAAATCAGCATGGTCACTTACCCATCTCTGTCAACTTCAAGCCTCTCAAGCCAGACTTCGCAAAAAAAAGTCGATAGAATTGATAGATGCCGTGGGTATTTTACAAAACCAATAATACTTTCATCATCACATGATCGCTTACCCCTGCCAACTCCCACCCACGTAGCTCAAAGTTTGTCGGATAACGAAAAGTAGCCTACAACACTCGCCTCGCCCCAAGATGTGCGCACAGTTTGGTCTGATAGGTTTAGAAACAAAATTTTCTATCCAGTACATACTTACAGACCAGTGGCACTCCCAGGATTTCGGATCGGGGGGGGGGGGGATGGCAAAAAAATTTTTTCAATGAAGGTGCGTGGCGTTAGCCACGCACTCCAAACAATTTTTTAGGGTGCTTCTCAAAATTTTTGCGGGTCCCCAACCCCTAAGATCTGGAAGAAGGGAGCGTGGCGTCAGCCACGCCCCCGAAAAAAATTTTTTCACAAGGCTAATTTGAATTTTTAAAGATTTTTAAAAAATTTCAATTGCTTACAAAAATAAACAATTTACTTGCGCATTTTTGTACCCTGGCTAGTTGTTATCGCTTACACCACTTTAAGGTGATTAGTATCTGAAAGGGAAATAAAACATTAACACGTTGACGACGAGTAATTTTTTAAGGGTCTATCCCTGTGGACAAGACGTTTCCGTGCATTTCTAGGCCTGGCTGCATGTATGTATGCATGTATCTGTGCATGAAATATAGAATGTGCAAGCTCCGCCCTCTCGACCAAAAATGTCGGGAAATGCCCAAATTTCAAGAATTGATGCGAATTCCGCCATTTTCAAGAAATGGGCGTAGCCTCCATTGAGGGGCGGAACTTGCCTGACGGAGCGGGACCTGGATCAAAGTTGTTTGAGGTCTTTGCGTTCATCTACGGCCTCTCATGTGCTATTTGTGCACAAAAAGGATCCTTGTGAGGGCATAGGAGTGGGTGAGGTGTGCCAGAAGGGGCGGGCTATATAAAATACATCTGAGCCTATGTTGATTATATGAACACAAACTGGGAGGAGTGGATAGATAGTGTTGAATTTAAGGCCGCCGCGCACCATTGCGCGGCGTCGTCCACAGAGACAGACTGCCTGCCGCGCACCATTGCACGGCGCTGTGGTCAAGTGTTAAGAACATATCGAATACACTTTTAAAAGGTTGTCTCCTGCAAGAATCCAAGATGGACGCCAAAGCGGACAGATACTTCTGACCGCATCAAATAATTATTCAATTATTCGAATAAATCATTCGAATGCAAATGATGCGATAGAATATTTGAAAATCTGATTTTTCGAATAAAATTCGATTATCGTCAGATTTCGAATATTATTCGATAGTCAGATGATACTGAAGTTCATTCGATGACCATCGTATAATTAATAATTCGACATTGTTAGCATGTACAGGACCCTTACACACTAATCGATATCTCTCTTGGCAAAATTTTTGCTAAACTTGGATGCCATTCTGTGGCTGGATTCAGCCTACCTACATTTATAGAAGAAGCGGATCACTCATGGCTTTTATCAGTGTTTGATTAACACTGATAAAAGCCATGCGTAGGAACTTATAGCATACTGAGTACTGCAAAATATGCCTTTCGAAAACTTCTCCAAGATCAAAAAATTTGAGAAGCAGCTTCTAGGCATGGTGATCTCAATACACAGCTTTTCACGAGTTTTTCAAGATTGTTCAATGTGTAATTACGTTTCAGAAACATCGAAGGATTTCTGCTGCGCTTTACCTAGTATAACTTATTAGAAAGCATCATGGCTAGGTGCAACTTTGTATTTAAAGTCAGTGACTGAGAAATCTGATGTAAGACATTTTCTTTTTTTAGTTTTCTTTCTGGGCAAGACCCCTATGTTTCAAAATCCTCTTCAATTCTCCCAAGGTAATCCTTCAGCAGTAAAGAGGGATCGATGAATCGCTTCATACTGTAAACCTAAGTTGAAGCTAGCATTACAGTATATAATATAAAATTCGGCAAAAGACTTTGTGGGAGGAAGGTTATCGAATAACACGTTGACGACCGCGCCATTTTGGGCAAAACTCGCACTAACGTCCTTCGCGCATAGTCCCATGCATATGCGCGTATGCACAGAAACATTATGTGGGGTCATTTTGACACTAGCATCCAAAGCATGTGTTTCACGCTGAAAAATTGCGCGGTTGTCAACGTGTTAATCGACAATTTTCTTCCCACAAAGTCTTTAGCCGAATTTTGCCGAACACATGAGGAACGCGAGTTTTCGCTCGGACTATTATTTGAAGAATCAGTTGAATATTACCAGCGTTGAGTTACGTGCAAAGTGTGATCAGTTTGTTTCGGGAAGGCCCGACAAGAGCAAGGTAAGTCGTATTACAAATGTAATCTCTTATGAATGTTTCCTTTTACACTCAGCAACAGAATGGCGATTCCCGAGGCCGCAAACGATTGTTCTCAAAAGTTCTTGATAAAAATTGGAGAGGAAACCGACTACAGTGCAGAGGTGCGATAGTCGGAGCCGAGTCTCCGCCTCCCTTCACTTTTGAGCTGGTACGGAGTGACCACCTTCACTTTTGGATTTGAAAAAAAATTTTTGCTGAGGCTTAAAAGAAGGAAAACAGGCAAAAGGAACGCCAAAGAAAGTATTGAGAGCATATATCTATGTAGTAGGTCGATCTAGGCAGTAACTGCCGAAAACCAGATATTAGAATGATAAAATAGCGAAAAAATCATGCGAAATTTCCACTGTTAAAAATCTGGTGGTTGAAGATGTCAGCACTTGCCACTTCATAGGTTTTGAAGGGCAAGTGTTGTTCTACCAGATAGTGAAAGAATTAGATCGATCTGAGCAGTGGCCGCCGAGAACGAGAATTTTGAAGAATTAAGCGATTTTAGGTTACTTAGTGAAAGCTGACGTTTAGACTCCTATAAATCTGGAGTGTGAAGGTGTGCAATGTTGCGACTTTAAACGTTTTGTTAAGTAAGAATTGCATTATCGGACTTGGCCTTAGCCGTACCGATCCATTGAAACAGCGCCGAGATGCAGGGTCTTGAAAAAGCAGGTAAAAGAGCGCTTTTGAAATTTAACAGCTTATAACTTCTTCAGAACTGCATGAATCATGTTGCGAGCATAGTTTGAAATTTCCTCTTCAAGAGCTTTCAGATGATATATGATTTATGGGTGTTCGAAACTTCTTGTGGCTTTAACCCGGATAGGACACTTTTCGTCACTAATTCTCCTTTGGCGGCTTCCATCCAGTACTTTGAAGTGGGCTGGGGGGAAAAATTAGTGATTTAAAGTCTCCCCCCCCCCCATTCTATTCATCTGAAAGCTCTGATGGGAAAAATCTAACCTATGAAGTCCATCACGATTCATGCAGATCTGAAGAAGGTATAAGGTGTTAAATTTTAGAAAGCGCTTATTTCTGCTTTTTTGAGAGCCTAAATCTCGGCGCTGTTTCAATGGCTCGGTACGGCTAAAACATACTCTAGTAGAACAAACCATACTCTACGAGGCCTATGAAGTCGAAACATTCAAATCTTCACATTCAAGAATTACAGGAGTTCAAGTCAGCTGTCACTAAGCAACCTAAAATGGCCTAATTTTTCAAAATTCTGTCTCTCGGCGACCACTTCTCAAATCGACCTGATTTTTTTCACTATATGACAGAACAACACTTACCCTTCAAACCTATGAAATCGCAGTTGCTAACACCATTAAACACGAGATTTATAACAATGGGAACTTTTATCATTCGATTCTGATTCTCGGCAGTTACTTCCTGGATCGAACTACTTTCTTCGCAAAACGTTATAACAAAACTTAAAGATACGCCATTTGATCAACACGTTTATTTCGAATATTTATGCCGCTGTACCCATCGAAATTCGTCAAGAAGCTTTGTTCCCCGAATTTGTGGAAAGTGCTGGGGCTTAGATGCTCCATGCCAGGATGGCCTTCGGTTGCTCGCAGTGGCGACGGCGAGTTCCTAAAAGTGAAATGAATGAGAAAAAAGCTTTTATTGACCTTTCAATTTGTTTTTCTTATTTTTCCGTTTTATAGTCAGTAAAGAAGCTTATGAAGCTTTTGAGAAAGGAATTTTTGCGAAAGTGACGTCGAGGTGTGGTCAACCCTCCCCCGGTCGAAGCTTTTGGGAGGTGAGTGTCCGGCACTACCACCCTCACTTTTGCCGGCCAGTGGTCTCAGACCACCTTCACTTTTGTGGGGTCCGGCTCCACCCATGCACCTCAGTGTATAACTTCTACAGATTGATAAAATTCCCTATCTTCCGTACGGAAGCCCCTTACGATGAGTTATGGATGATTGGAGTATTGCCAATCGCGTCGCGGCTGAAATCGCGTGAGGTATGCCCAGGGCCTAAGGCCTACTTCCGCCATTCCGTCAAATCGCTGCATCCACGCGACCTGGCGAATAGCCGGATTTGTACAGATTAACTTTGCGCGGGTCACAAATGTTTAGGTACGTAGCTTTTGCAACCTGACGCAAACGCATAAAGTCTGGCCCAAGCAAGGCGGCTTACGATTATGAAGAGTCATTGCCGTGCCAGATCGCCAGCGAATGGACGCGTGAGGTATGCCATACGGGCCGGGCATACTTCACGCGATTTCAGTCGCGACGCGATTTGGCAATATTTCAACTGTCCATAACTCCCTGTAAGCACATTTTAAATGTACAGAAGACAAGGCATTTTATCATTCCACGTAAGTTATACATACTATGCATGTGCAGTTTGCTAACAGTTTGCTAATGTTGATCTGAAGACTTGGCGAATGGCCAAATCGCGTCGCAACTGAAACCGCGAAGTATGCTCGGCCCTTTGGACCTTAGGCATCGGGCATACCTAACGCGATTTTAACTGCTGCGCGATTACTCCACCAGACTATGTTTCTGACCCCTCGCGCTCAAGTATTTAAGAGAGTGAGTCCCGCCGCATTCGTTCCAGTTTGTAAGGGCGACAAATCGCTTGCCATTGCGAGCAGTTTTTTGACGGGCATACCTCTAATGGCGATGTCGCCACGACATCGCCGAAATTGAGAGAAATCGCTCGCAAATTCTGCACCAGCGACGGGCGATATGTCGAGTTCCTTTCTTTTCTCTGGAGAGATTTCGCAAGTCTTTTTCTTAAAATTTAACTGATGCACCATGCGGATAGCACCGCAAGGCCTGCTCTTCCGCTGCACACTTTTCTCCACTCACCACTCTGTATTGTTTATCCATTTTTTCACTTATCCACTTCTTTCTCTTATCCTTTTCACTTATCTACTTTAACTCTGAATCTAAGGAAGCGTTCCTAAATTGCCTTGGCAAAGGACGTAAATGTTTCTACTTCTCGTTTATTCGTATTTTTCGCTTTCCTCTTCCTTTTCAGAATCTCCTGACTACTTGAAGATTTACTGTGTACTTGTCTGTTGCTTTACTGATACTACTTTACGATTGCTGCTACCCTTGGCATCTCTAACTGCGGTACGTGTGGCTAATGTGTGGGTGATTTGCAATAACTTGTCGCCAACAAGCAATAGCATGTTGGCGACAATGTATGTCTGCCATCCTTGAGCAACATGTTGTTACATGTTGATACACAGCCATACGTGCCGCAGTCAGGGATGCAAAGGCTAGCAGTAATCGTGGATTGAGCGGTACTGTGGTGGACGCGTCGATGAGCCTACTTATTGTCTTGGAATAGTGGTGAGAAGGGAGTGAGAGATGTCAGACAAATTCAGAAACTCGGTAATGTTAGCGTGACATTCGGGCGTGACCAGGGTAAAGCGGGGGGTGCGGCACTCGACCGTCGGATACGACCCCCCCCCCCTGATTGCTGTCTTAATAAGACCCCCCTCCTAAACTATACACTTAAGATAGTATTACCTGAAGGCTCTGTCAAACACAATGGACAACATATCCATAATTAGCATGTCAAATACCCCCTGTAGACAAAGTGTGAGCGAATTCTGAAGATTCAAGATACTAGGCTACCTAAGTGAAATGGTCAAATTCCAACATGGTTAACTTTGTTTTAAAGGTGAATTAGCTATCCGTTTTTGCACTCAAGACAAAGCACTACTCTTTCTTTGTCCACCTCAGGAATCCCGCTTCAGAAGACCTCCAAACTGTGGAATTAGAAGCCAACCAAAATCTCATTTTTCCCATTTTTCGCTTTTGATGGCTGTGCTTTCACCAAATATTACTCAGAGCTAAGAAGACGAATCAGGCTCAAAACATCCCTATGGAATCTACGAGGTTTAGGCTATCGATTCATATAAATATTGTCCGCTAAAAATGTTTTTTTGATATAGTTAATGGCCTGCGGCACCCCTGCGGCACCCCTGCGGCAGCCGCAGGTTTTGAGGGGGGGTGCCGCAGGCCATTAACTATATCAAAAAAACATTTTTAGCGGACAATATTTATATGAATCGATAGCCTAAACCTCGTAGATTCCAAAGGGATGTTTTGAGCCTGATTCGTCTTCTTAGCTCTGAGTAATATTTGGTGAAAGCACAGCCATCAAAAGCGAAAAATGGGAAAAATGAGATTTTGGTTGGCTTCTAATTCCACAGTTTGGAGGTCTTCTGAAGCGGGATTCCTGAGGTGGACAAAGAAGGAGTAGTGCTTTGTCTTGAGTGCAAAAACGGATAGCTAATTCACCTTTAAAACAAAGTTAACCATGTTGGAATTTGACCATTTCACTTAGGTAGCCTAGTATCTTGAATCTTCAGAATTCGCTCACACTTTGTCTACAGGGGTTAATTGACGTGCTAATTATGGATATGATACGAATATCATGTTATCGCTATAATCAGATCACCTAACTACGACCCCCTCCCCTTTTGACTCCTCAATACGACCCCCCCTCTGCGGCGTGCCGCACCCCCCGCTTTACCCTGGGCGTGACGCGTGAGCTACGAGTTTGTGAGAGGTATGCCCGGAATAGCGACATGCGATTAGTCCCGAAGGAAGACGGACATCGAGGCATTCGATGCCCTAGCGATGAGAATCGCTACGATTGAATGGCTGAAGGTATGCCCGAAGCCTTACATAGCCACCTCAACAAAGTTGCAAATACAAAGGGCAATAACTTTTGTGAATGTTGCCGACATGCTAAATCTTTACCGTACAAAGTGTGTTTACGAATAGTTATGATCAACTGTGATTAACCGACGTCGGTTAATCACAATCACCAATGCCTCAAACTCGAGTGAGTTCATGAACAGCATGTGCCAGCCGCCAGCTCGGTGCCCTACACGGTGCGCTGAACGCTCCGCCTCTGGTTTGCTGGCGTAGGAATGCGTTGCAGTTATTGATAGGCTCTATAAAATTGCGTTCAATCTTCTTTTGGTACAAATCAGAGTTGATACGATAAATTGCAAATAGCAATTCAAAAAACCAGCGTTTTAGATCATTTTCATTCTGAGCTAGTTCGCAAGCTGTTCCATGGTCTGTTCTTATTCCTAGTATAGTCGGTTTCATCTTGGAATATGCGGAACCTTCTACGTGGAGCAGCACGTGCGCACCGCTGGAGGCTCGCGAGCGCATAGCATTGGCATTTTGCCAGGCTAAGAGTAAGGAGAATGAAGAGACTCAGACTTTGGTTCTCAGCACGATATGGTGTACTGTAGCCGCGAAACGGCGCGAACCGCTGCGAGGCGGGCGCCCGCCAATCCAATTTCCACCTAGAACGGGTCGAAACTTACTGTAGGTTGGTTCAAACTGATTTTCCATAGCAAAAAAAACTTGTTTCGAAAATGCTTTAAAACTGTTTCCCTCACCTTATTTGCATCTGTCACTTCAACAAATATTCCATTTTATCATACACTCTCCAGGTTCGTTCGAAAAGAAATCAATTTGTCGAATAAACATTATTATTGCCGAAACATTCGATCAACACAATCATTTCTGACTAAACTTCAGATACGTCATCATAACCAAAAAAAAATTTCGTAATAGCAGTTTCTAGCAAAACTTGCAAAATTACAACTAGGCAATTTTTGTTTCAGCCACAACTAATTTAAAGGCAGCGTCCAGGCAGATCTAGACCTATGGGGATTTTACGTGGAAAGTATTTTTAGGGCCCTAATTAAGGCACTGCTCAAGCGGCAGCGCACGTAGTGCTCTAACGGCTGAGATATTCCCCTCGAAACTGACCCCCCGCGATCGTATTCGCATGGATTCATGGCAGTTCCGCGCCAGGATCCACGCTCTGCGCAACGAATCCATGCGAAATATGGTCGCGTGGTCCAGTTTCGAGGAATATCTCAGCCGTTAGAGCTCTACTTGAGCTGCCGGTTGGGCAGTGACTTAGTCAGGGCCCCAAAATTACTATCCACGTGAGATCCCCATGTGTCCAGACTTGCCTGGACGCTGCCTTTAATGGGGAGGCGGTCGATTGATACCCGGACAGCCGCTCGCAGCCGCACCTTGTAGCAGTGGCGTACCGAGGGGGGGGCGCCCCCCCAAGAATGGGTCGCGAAATTTTTGGAAGTTACTTACATGAGTCACAAAAATGTGCAAGAGACTTATTCCCCCCCCCCCCCCGAGCCGAAATCCTGGGTACGCCACTGCCATGTAGTAATTAGCGAGGTGCGACGCGGCCCTAATTGCGCTGCGCAACGCGGCAGCTCCTCTAGCTTCCCGAGTCTCTCTCGCTTAGGATCTTTCAGCATAGCACTCTGAGGTGCAAAGCGACCTATGTCACGCATCACACTTTAGATAAGCCGGTGAAACAGGAATAACTTCTGAATAAGACAGCAAATTCTGAATATTCAAGCCAATTGACAATCGTTAAAAACAAATGTGAATTTCAAACTCAAAGTTTAAATTTATTTTGTAAATTCAAAAAAGATTAGTAGTCTCCTACACTGCCCACATCAATGGCTTTACTAAGATACCTTCACAGACAAAATCGCATTATAATTTCCAATCAAGGTAAACTTTTTATTTTGAATTTTGCTTTCTCAGATTTGTTCCGCTTCT